GCTGAGAACAGAGTGCAGTTCTGTTTTGTTTGATGGTAACAGGCAGATCATGGAGGACATTCCCCAAATCTAGCACAACACCTGGCACATAGCAGGAATGCAAACAGAAAGTGTTAGTTAAATGAATGAAAAAATCTTTGGTTTGAGATCATTGCCATCTGACAAACTTATTTTCAAGGTGCTGTTATTTTTATTTTACATAAATAACCTGATTCTGACAATCTTTTTTTTTTTTTATCCTCACCCGAGGATATTTTTCCATTTTTTGTACAGATAGAGTGGGAGGGAGAGAGAGGAAGGGAGAGAGAGTGAGAAACATCGACGTGAAGGGACACATCGAGTGGCTGCCACCCACACGACCAACCAGGGCCGGGGACAAACTGCAACCGAAGTACGTGCCCTTAGCGGGAACCGAACCCGGGTCTCTCCGGACCGCAGGCCGACGCTCTAACCACTGAGCAAAACTGGCCAGGGCTGATTCTGACAATCTTTTATGTGGAGGCTAATATAGTGAACCTCTGGGGAGGAAAAGCCCTATTTAATTTTTACCAGGCCATGTATGTAAATACAACAATATTTTCTTTTCTCATTTTTTTTATTCTCACCTGAGGACATTTTTTTGTTTTTTGTTCAGATAGAGTGGGAGGGAGAGAGAGAAAGAGAAACATCGACATGAAAGGGACAAATTGAGTGGTTGCCATCCGCACAATCCAACCAGGGCCGGGGACAAACCGCAACCGAGGTACATGCCCCCAGCGGGAACCGAACCCGGGTCTCTCTGGACCACAGTCCGATGCTCTAACTGCTAAGCCAAACCGACCAGGGCTAAATACAATATTTTATATAGTGCTACAGTGGCTGTGGTTTCCAGGAGAAATTGAGATCTGGGGTTTGTCTACCCCCAGAAAATGGGCATTGAGGAGCTCTTTAATATAGGCTCTTTTCTGTTTTCACACAAGAGTGTCAGACAAAAAGGAATCCCCCTTCTCCATCCCAGTTGTGAAATTAGGCCAGGTCTCAATGTATGCATCTTTTCCTCTGAGAAGCCTTCCCTGACCACCCCCATCATGGGTTAAGGCCCCCCCTCCCCTGGGCCTGTCTCTCCCCCATTGTAGTCCTCTGCAGAATGATTGCCTGATTATTCATTTACATCCCCCCAGATGAAGCTCCACCCATCCAGGGCTGGGGCTTTATCTTGTTTCATTGGATTTCCAGCACCTGGCACAGTGCCTGGCACACAGTATATGTTTGTTGAATGAAGGAAGGCTCTGCCTTTCTCAAATCTCCTCTATTCAAGAGCTTTATGTCACTGGAGCTGCTGGTTTGATGGCCCTTTTTGAATGTGATTTATCCTAAGTACCTGACCCCTGCTGCTCACCCCCTTTAGTCAATGACAGGAGAATGAATTGAGACTGTCTGCCCTCTCCATCTGTCCTTGTCCTCAGAGGCATGTGCCCATAGTGTGTTCTATTTAGTGACCCATTTGTCCTGTCTGCTCAGCCAATAAGAACAGTAATAATCACCACATCTGTTGAATGCTTACAAAATGCCAGCATTCTACATCAGTTATTTGGAATCCTCATAACATTTCCACAAAGGGAATATTTTTACTCCTATATGTAAGGAAACAGACTCAAAGAGGTCTCAATATCTTGCCCAAGGTCATCCAGTAAAAGTGTGTGTGGCGAATGAACAAATGAATGCATAAATGAACAAAAAGATGTCTTAACAACTCTGGTGCTTTGCTACTTTTCTCTTTTGTTTCCTGTAACACTAAAAATAGTTCATTAGAACTGAAGGAGCCACGTAGCTTTGGGAATTTCTAAGCCAAAAAAGCAGGGAGCAGGGAGGAGGTGACCCTGACAAAGAGCAGCTCTGAGCAAACCCGAGTTACTCAGTAACCCAAGCCCTGGTCCCCATGGATGGCCTGGCCAGGCTGGGTCAGGGCAGGCAGCAGACACCGGTTCCCCTTGGCTACCCTTCAAGTGCTTAGCTGGTCAAGCTGGGAACTGGAGATGGATGGTCAAAAATTGGACGGATTCCAGGTCAGGCAGGATGGGAGCTGATTACAGAGTCTGGGTCCCATCAGAGGAGGTCTAAGGTGGAGGAAGGAGTGAGAGATGAGGCCCCCAAACCTATCAGAGCTTCCAGGGCCAGAGGAGATAGGAGGGGCACCTAGAGCCTGACATTACGGGGTAAGCCAAAAGAAAACCGTGGACTGAGCCTTTCTGTAATAGGGGGTGGGCCAGGGGAACTCTTAGAAGGGGAGGTCTGTCAGGGTCTTGTCCTCTGCTGGACCAAGGGGTGATACCAGCTGGTGCTCACTAGTTATTAAAATATCAAGATTCTCCCATACAAGTTGTCCAAAGGTCTCCAAGTGTACTTTCTGGCTGGCCCAGCTATCCTGTCTTTCCGAGGGCTCCCTCTAGACCTCTTCACAATCCAGCAAATAAAGGGTTAACACCTGCCAGGGCAACCCTGTTACTGGTGTTGACTAGAACTCCAGGAGCTGGCCTACAGACTGGTACTAAATGAACAGTTGTTGAATGAATGGATGAGCAACAGAGGAGAGGGAAAATCAGAGATCCCGAGAACTTTAGAAAAACTGAGAGTTAACAGCTAAGAGAGAGATGGGTGACTTAAAATTAGGGAGGAAACTCCCAGAGGATTCTGGGAAGGCCCAGCCAACTGGGCCTCCCTCTCTGGCTCTATAGCTCTTGAAGGCTCTTCCCTTGTAGGGCCTATCTAGACCCTGCCTGGGCAACCCAAAGCAAATCGCATGCCCAAAAAGGGCTCCGAAAGCAGGCTGTGTCCCTGGAGCAGAAAGTTGAACCTGGGAGGATACCCAGATGCTGAATTATCCAAGAGTCACTATCCAAAGATTGGTGATGAGACATCCCCACACCACTCCACAGAAGGAGCTAGAAAACAACCTTCTTCCTGATCAAGTCGAGAGCCTCTGGGTCAGGGGCCAGGGGCCACTGAAGGCCGGAGAGCCTACTTGGCCTGCTGGGAGCAGTGCTACCAGAAGCTGGTCCCCCAACCTCATGCCTGCCTGGCTGGGCACTTAGATCAGGAAGTTAGACACTGGAATGCAACTGTCCCCCAGAGCCCATGCTGGTCTGGAGGCTCAAGCCCATGAGGGGAAGTGGGGGAGGAGGTGAACTGGGGAAAGGACAGAAAGGGAAGCTAGGAGGAGGGTCAGGGCCTCCACTGTCACCTCTGTTTCTGCTCATTCCTAAGAAGGAACAAGTTCATTCCTAGGAGGAGCCCCACTCTGCATCTGCTCTGGGGAGTGGCTGGCCCCTATGAACCTGGACCACATCTCCTGGGAATGGCAACTCTTCCTTCAGGCAGGGGTCTGGAACATCTTTGCAAACACCCATAAGGCCCTCCAACATGACAGGCCTCCCAGGTAGTAGGGTAGCAACATATATAGAGGGCCTTCCCTCCCACTAGCTCCTCTGAGACTGGCTTTCAGCTTTTCTTCTTTGAAGACCCTTGTAGCTGGCAGGTGTCAGAACTAACAGGTACCAGGCCCTCCACCTGTTTAGAGCCCTCCAGTGGCTCACCTTCTAATGCGTGGAGGCCATGTGCCGTAGCAGGGACTTCAAGGCCTTTCTAGACTCCCCACCCCTAGCCTCAGTTCCTGAACACATTGGACACTCACACAACCAGGCTTCTGTCTCTGCTGGGCTCCTTCTTGAAATGTCCCTCTTCTTTCTTCACTTGTCCCATTTCAGAGTAGTCCTTTTAGATTGCCTATGGACATTGCCTCACAGGAATTCTCCATCTTAGTTCCCTTCCTCATCCCTACTCCTGTGGGTTCTACAGCTTTTCCTCCTAGGTTCTCACAGTCTCTGTGCTTCCCAGGGTCACATTTACCCCAAAGACAATTAAATTCCCTCCTAAGTGTCTGTCTCCCAACTGGTCAGGGGCTCCTGGAGACAGGGGTATCTGGCTCATCTCTCTGAAACCCGGCTCTCAGTGTCTCCTCACTGTCTGTCTACCAGTTCCCCAGCAGATGCAAATCTTACTATCATAACAAGGGACTGTTGTCTCCTAAGTGAAAGGAACCTCCTTCCATCTGGCTTCCCTTCTTTACAGCTGCTAAGGCAGCCCAAAGCCTCTCATATGCACACTGGGCTGCGCAGGGAAGCCCAGTGTCAACGTGGCCCCTGCCCAGCCTGCTGCACTGTGGTGGGTGCAGATTCCGGATGGGGAGGTGGTGGAGGAATGGAGCAGCGTAGGCAACTGGACTAGTAAAGCTCAGACTTTCCAGCCGGTTAATCATCAAGGCCTGGAGAGCCATCTCTTTATCTCCATTCTTCATCTGGATTTTTCAGTTTGCGAAAGACTGAGTAACCACTCAACTCTTTCTTGTGTTAACCGTAGAGGGGCCAGACCGGGGCCTTTAAGGGCTAATAATAATTCTTTGGTAAACTAACTATAAATTAACACCTTTTTCTGTTTGTTTAAAAAAATTTTTTTTTCTTTATTGATTTTTAGAGAGAGAGGAAGAAAGAGGGAGAGAGAGAAACATCGATGAGAGAGAACATACCAGCGATCTCTTGGTGCATGGGTCCTCGCTCAAACACTGAGCCACACCCGCGTGGCTGTTTTTGTTTTTGGAGAGGGCAGGTTCCCTCCTTTCCTTTCCCCCACTGGGTCCAAAGCTGTGCCCCAGCCGGCGGCATACATACGGACCAGAACAGCGCCAAGGTCAGCTGGGCTAAGAGAGACGGGATCTGGGGTCCGAACGCCCCCATCCCTCCCAGTCCTTGCCCCACTTCAGGCCGGGCCTAGGCTCCCGCCACCCTCCCCCTGGGGCCGGGAGCTGCGGAGGGCTAAGTTGCCTCGTGGGAAAGGCCTCCAAGTGGGAGGGCCCTTCTGTGGGCGGGGTCTGGCTCCGGTGAAACCTGCCTGGCACTCTGGGGAGTATCTGTCCGCGCCCCGCGCTGGGAGCCAGAGCGGTAAACCGAAGACACAGCCTCTGCCCCATGGACGGATCCCCGCGCCGCGGCGCGTGCAGGCGACTGCTGCTCCCCCTGCTATGCCTCCTCCTCCAGGGCGCCACTGCCATCCTCTTTGCGATTTTTGTCCGCTACAACCAGGAAACCGACGCTGCCCTCTGGCACAGGGGCAACCACAGTAACGCGGATAATGAATTTTACTTTCGCTACCCAAGTGAGTGCGGGTGAGGGCTCTCGGGGAGCAACCCCAAAGAGGGGGCATTTGGGTGCCCAGATCTACCCCTAGGAGTAGGTGGGTAACCCTCTCTCTCTTAGATGACGGTGCCCCAAATCTATAATAACACCCTTTCACTAGTGTCTGCCATGTTCCAGGAATTGTGCTGAGGGCGGCACATGCATTACCTCACTTAGCCTGTAAATTAGACAGAGGTGGGGAAACAGGTCCGAGAGGCTAAGTGGCTGGTTCAAGGTCACACTGTCAGAATTGAGGGAGCTGGGATTCAAACCAGATCTGAAGCTCCAGCTTTAACTGCTCCCTTGTCCCACCTCCCAATTAGCCTAGTTGGGCTTTGCTGGGCTATCACAGAGAATTTGCCTTTCCTAGGACCTCCACCCTGACCACAAGAAAGAGAACCCTTCTGGGCAGGGGAGGTAGGGAATGGCATGCAGCAGGTGGAAATGGCAGGTATTAGCTACCAAGGCAGTCAAGACTAGTAGGACTCAGGCATTTCTTCCTAGTTCTCCAGAGCTGGCCCTCCCAGAGTCAGAGAGAAAATGATGCAACTACCTACCAGCCAACCACAGAGTAGCAGCCCCTAGCCCTGGGAAGGAGGCATGGCAGGGTCATCAGCCCATTTAACAGGGGAGGAAGCTGAGGTTCAAAGAGGTTGTGACTTGCTCATGATCACCTGTCATGTAAGTGGCAGAATAGGAACCGGGACTCAGGCATCCCAAGCTCCTTGCACCACAGTTCACCTGCCTGCTGACATGGCCCAGGAAGGGGAGGGTTGATCCCCTGACCCCTGCTGGGACACAGCATCTCAAGGTTGGGGGCCCAGCCTTGTGACTCAAGCCCTGAGCAGCTGAGATCAAGGACACTAAATCTCTCAGACTTCATCACAAATGCTTGGGCAGGTCTTCTGTAAGCCTCAGTTTCTCCATCTGGGCAATGGGGAGAAGGATGCCTTATTTGAAGGATATACATTAAAACAAGGCTCAGAATGTGAGAGTCTCTTATAAAAAAATCACAGGCTGTTGCCCTGGCCAATGTTGCTCAGTGGTTAGAGCATTGTCCCAAGGACCAAAGGATCTGATTTATGGTTAAGGGCACATACCTGGGTTGCAGGTTCAATCCCCAGCCCTGGTTGTGTGTGGGAGGCAACCAATCGGTGTGTCTCTCTCACATCGATGTCTCTCTCTCTCTCTCTTTCTCTCCCCCTCCCTTCATTCCTTCCACTCTCTCTAAAAATTAATGGAGAAAACAAAACAAAGCAAAAAACATCACAGGCTGCTATTACCATCCTCTCTGTATGCAGAGCTGACAGCAGGCTGTCCCCACCTGACCCTCTCCCAGCCCCAGCCTGACAAAATGAAGCTCACAATGCTGAGGATCTAGAGCAGCGGTTCTCAACCTGTGGGTCGTGACCCCTTTGGGGGTCGAACGACCCTTTCACAGGGGTCACCTAAGACATAACAGTAGCAAAATTACAGTTATGAAGTAGCAATGAAAATGATTTTATGGTTGGGGGTCACCACAACATGAGGAACTGTATTAAAGGGGTGCGGCATTAGGAAGGTTGAAAACCACTGAATTCTAGAGGATGAGATGGAGGTTTGGACCTGGCATAAAGCACCAGACCCCCAGACATCATAGGCAGAGGGGGATGACAGCTCCTCCCTCACCCCAGCCCTGGCTGGACAAGGTGAGCCAGGGAAGCTGGGATCAAAGTCAGAGCCAATAGGGCTGGAATGGCAGACTCTTGGGGTCATGCATTTGTGCAGAGAGATAGGGAGTTGGGAGGGAACAGTCCACAGGGTGAGAGAAGTAAGCTCCTGTCCAAGGGTCTGACTTGGCTAAACCCCCATTTGCTTCTCCCCTGGGCCTCACTGAGGCCTCCAAGCCTTGCTTGTTTCAAAGTCCTCCCTGAAACCTGCCAGCTTCTCACCCCTCTGCTGCAGTGGTGGGCTCTCCTTGGACACAGCTTGTCTGCCCTTTATTGCAATATGAGGAATGGCAGTGGAAGTCCTCCCTCTTTTTCTGTCCGAGGTTTCCACCCCTATGGACTTGGGACCCTGATGTGGGGGAAGGTTGGGGAGGAGAGAGGTGTGAGATCCCTGGAGCCTGTGGCTTTGATGAGCCGGGTCTTCACCTGTCCTGTGTCCAGGGAAAGGGTTCAGGGCCAGAGGGGGTGTAGCCACCACCCTTTGATTTGGGAGATGAAAGGGAGCTCTGAGCTGTTGTGCTGGGGGACTAGCCAATACCAAGGGCATGGCTGCTTTGAAGGTCTGTCTGTTATGTCTGTAGGAAAGGCCCTCAGAGCCCATCTTCTGAGATGTGGAGAGAGAGCCAGAGAGAATATGTGACCACCCAAGATCACACAGCAAGTTAACCAGGCTAGAACCAGATCTCTTGGCTCCCCATTTGCGGCCTTCCCCCCACATTATAAGCTTCTTATCCCATTAGGCGAGTAATAGAAAAAAGAAAGAAAAAACCTAGAGTTACAGGGAACACAGAAGCCAACATGAGAAAGGATTTCAAGAAAAAATATAGACAGGTCCTTTTTATATACCTCTGAGAACTTACCAGGAGAAGGATTTAGGATAGATGGAATCAGAATCTTCTTGGAAGAGGTGGGGAAAGGGGATGTGACCAGGATCTCTTCAAGGAGAATACAGCGCCATCTGCCCCCTTAGAGGCAAGAGTAAGGAAAATGGGGGGATGGCCTCCCCAGCTTGCCACTCATTTTTTCTGCTCCTCATAGTTTATATCCCCACTTTACGGATGAGAAAACTGAGGCTCTGAGAAGTCAAAAGTGGCTTGTCTAAGGTCACAAAGTCAGAATGGGGGGAGTTGGAATTTAAATACAGCTCTGTCAGATGCTAAAGCCCAGCTTTAACTGGTTCCTTGTCCCATAGTCTTAATCTTGTTCAGGAGTCATCTAGTGGGGTTAGAGAGGGGCAGTTAGGGAACGAGGGAGGGTAATAGCTGGCTCTAGAGGGCTTTTATCTTTTCTTCCACCAGACTCCATCCTGCCCCCACTGGGATCCCCTAAAGGGACTGGTGAGGGGTCATCTTATCCATCCTCCTGCCTCTAGCTGGCATAGCCCATGGAGAGTGTCTGTGTGGAACGTTCCCCACTGAAGATTTCTTTTTTTTCAATTGATTTTTTATTGTTGAAAGGATTACAGATGTCCCCCCTTTTCCCCCCATTGACCCCCTTCCTCCCTGCTCCCACCCCCCTCCTGCTTTCCTCAACCTAATGTCTGTGTCCATTGGTTGTGCATATAAGTTCTTTGGTTTATCTCTTCCCACCCCTCCCACCCCCATCCCTCTGAGGTTTGTCAGTCTGTTTCCTACTTCCATGACTGGATCTGTTTTGATCAACAGCTTATTTTGTTCATGATGTTCCATAAATAAGTGAGATCATGTGGTACTTGTCTTTCTCTGACTGGCTTATTTTGTTCAGCATAATACTCTCCAGGTCCCTCCATGTTGACTCAAAGGGTAAGAGACCTCTCTTTCTTAAAGCTGCATAGTATTCCATTGTGTAAATGTACCACAGCTTTTTTATCCACTCATCTACTGATGGGCACTTGGATTGTTTCCAGATCTTAGCTATTGTAAATAGTGCTGCTATGAACATAGAGGTGCATATGTCCTTTTTCCCCCCTTTTCTTTATTGGTTTTTAGAGAGAAAGGAAGGGAGAGGGAGAGAGAGGCAGAAACGTCGATGACAGAAAACATTGACTGGACTCCTCCTGCATGCTCCCCACTGGGGATCGGACCCACAACCTGGGCATGTGCCTTGAGTGGGAATTGAACCAGCAACCTCTTGGTGCATGGGTTGATGCTCAACCACTGAGCCACACTGTCTGGGCCATATGATCCTTCTGACTTGTGTTTCAGGCTTCTTAGGATAAATTCCTAGAAGTGGAGTCACTGGGTCAAATGGCAATTCTATTTTTAGTTTTTTGAGGAAACACCATATTGTGTTCCATAGTGGCTGCACCAGTCTGCATTCCCACCAGCAGTGTGCTAGGGTTCCCTTTTCTCCTCATCCTTGCCAGCACTTGTTGTTTGATAATTTGTTGATGGCGACCATTATGGCAGGTGTGAGGTGATATCTCATAGTCTTTTTAATTTGCATCTCTCTGATGATTAGAGATGTTGAGCATTTTTTCATATGTCTCCTGGCCATTTGTATGTCCTATTTGGAGAAGTGTGAAGGAGATTTCTTCTTCTTTTTTTTAAATCCTCACCTAAGGATATTTTTCATTTATCTCAGATAGAGTGGGAAGGGGAAAGAGAGAAAGAGAGAAACATTGATGTGAGACCAGGGATGAACTGCAGCCGAGGTTCATGCCCTTGACCAAAATTGAACCCGCGACTCTTTGGTCCAAGGGCCAACACTCCAACCGCTGAGCCAAACTAGCCAGGGCAAAGGAGATTTCTTGATGTTTAGACTTCCAAATGAAAGGCCAAGGGATTGAGTTTTGATTCTAAACAAACCTGGGGTGGGAGATGTAAATATTGTTGCCATTTAAACAAGCTCTGGAGCGGTTTCAGCATGTAATGGGCACAGAGCCCCTTCGTTATCTTTCTGTCCTTGGGCAAAAGAACAGAACCAAGGAAACCTCACATACGTGATGCTTTGGGGTGTTTTTTTTTTTATGTCTGTCTTTCACGCCTGTGACCACAGGGACTGTGGCTGCTTGATGACAGCTACATTCCTAGAGCCTGAGCAGACTGGTTCCTCAGGGGAAGTGACATTTTCTAGCACCATGTTCTAAGAAAAAATTCTCACGTGGAGCTATAAAAGGGGAGTTTAGAATCATGGTTGACCCTGTTTCTCAATAACTTGTTGATAACAAATGCAATAGCAGCACTCATGATAGTCTTTCTGTGGTGTTTTCAATGAAAGCCAAAGATACAGAGCATAGCACTGTACACACAGACCGAAGGCAAAGGACTCAGGCCCAGATGCACGCCAAATATCACACTGTGCTGCGTTTCAAACCCTGTTCATGAGTCGATGGAGGAGGGGTACAGAACTAATACTAAAGCAAATTATTTGTATTTATCTTATTGTCATAGTTACTGTGTATCACTTTTATTTTATTTATCTATCTATTTATTCATTTAAATCCTCACCCAAGGATATTTTTCCATTGACTTTTAGTTAGAGTGGAAGGGTGGCGGAGAGAGAGAGAAAGAAACATCGATGTGAGAGAGACACATGGATGGTTTGCCTCCTGCACAACCCCGACTGGGGCTGGGGATGGAACCTGCAACCCAGTATGTTCCTTTGGTCAAGAATCGAACCTGTGACCCTTTGGTTTATGGGCCAATGCTCTAACCCCTGAGCCGAACAAGTCAGGGCCTGTATTTTACTTTTATCAGCTTAGATTTTTATGCCCAGTGGTGCAGAATAGAAAGCAAACAAAAAAGGCCCCAAATCTCTCTGTCCAGAAACCCCATTAACAAGTAAAAGAAATTCAAGCAGTTCATCTATAAAAATAAAAAATTCAAACTATAGAAAGAAACAAACTAAAAAGTGAAACCCTCCTTCCCAGAGTCTCCATGTTGCATAACTCCACAGGGCACTGGAGTTGGGTGCCAGCAGCCCTGCCCCTCCCTTCATTTCCTCTTCCTTGTACTAATTTCTGTTAACAATTTAAAGCTACTTTGTAAATTTTTTAAAAATTGTTTTTCTTTATTGATTTTAGAGAAAGAGGAAGGGAGAGGGAGAGATAGAAACATTGATGAGAGGGAACGTTGATTGGCCACCTCCTGCATGCCCCCCACTGGGGATTTGGCCCACAACCTGGGCATGTGCCCTGACCAGGAATCAAACCAGCGACCTCTTGGTGCATGGGTCAATGCTCAACCCCTGAGCCACACTGGCTGGGCTGTAAATTATTTTATTTTATTTTATTTATTTACTTATCTTTATCTTTATTGTTGAATATATTACAGATGTTCGTTTTTCCCCCATTGACCCTCTCCTCCCCACTCCCACCCCCCTCCTGCCTTTTCCCACTCTGTTGTCTGTGTCCATTGGTTATGCATATAAGTTCTTTGGTTTATTTCTTCCCACCTCCAACCCCCTTCTCTTTGAGGTTTGTCAGTCTAGCAACCAATTTGTTCTTCTATCCCTTCACCTTTTTCACCCATTCCCCCAACCCCCCTCCCATCTGGCAACCAACAAAATGTTCTCTGTATCTATGAGAATGTTTCTGTTCTGCCTGTTCATTTTGTTTGTAGATTCCATTGCCAATACATATGTATTCATTGCCATTTTGTTTGTTTATATAGTTTATATATATTTTATCTTTTTCTTCAAAAAGACCCTTCAACATTTCATATAATAATGGTTTGGTGGTGATGAACTCCTTTAACTTTTTCTTGTTTGGGAAACTCTTTATATGGCCATAGATTCTAAATGACAGCTTTGCAGGATAGAGTAATCTTGGTTGTAGGTTCTTGCTTTTCATCACTCTGAATATTTCTTGCCACTCCCTTCTGGCCTGCAAAGTTTCTTTTGAGAAATCAGCTGACAGTCTTTTGGAAACTCCCTAGTAGGTAACTGCTTTTCTCTTGCTGCTTTTAAGATTCTCTCTTTGTCTTGAACCTTTTGCATTTTGATGATGATGTGTCTTGGTGTGGGCCTCTTGGGGTTCATCTTGTTTGGGACTCTCTGTGCTTCCTGGACTTGTATGTCTGTTTCCTTTACCAAGTTAGGGAAGTTTTCTGCCATTATTGTTTCAAATAGGTTTTCGATTTCGTGTTCTCTCTCTTCTCCTTCTGGCACCCCCAAGATGTGAATGTTGGCACACTTGAAGTTGTCTCAGAGGCTCCTTACACTATCCTCATTTTTTTTGGCTTCTTTTTTCTTTTTGCTGTTCTGATTGGGTGTTTTTTGCTTCCTTATATTCCAAATTGATGTTTTGCTTCTTGGCTTTACCTACTCTACTATTAAATCTGTGTAAATTATTCTTTTTTTTTTTTTTTTAATCCTCATCCGAGGACATTTTTCCATTTTTTGTACAGACAGTGTGGGAGGGAGAGAGAGGAAGAGAGAGAGAGGGAAACATCGATGTGAAAGGGGACACATCGAGTGGCTGCCACCCGCACAACCAACCAGGGCTGGGGACAAACTGCAACCGAGGTACATGCCCTTAGCGGGAACCGAACCCGGGTCTCTCCGGACCGCAGGCGGACGCTCTAACCGCTGAGCCAAACCGGCCAGGGCATGTAAATTATTCTTTATTTCAGTTAATACCTCCTTCATTTCTGACTGTGCATCCATCATTTCTGATTGGTCCTTTTTAATGCTCTTGATGCCCTCACTAAGTTCATTGAGCATCCTTATAAGCAGTATTTTGAACTCAGCGTCTGTTAGGTTGCTTATCTCCATTTCACTTAGTTCTTTTCCTGGAGTTTTGTTCTGTTCTTTCATTTGGGACCTGTTTCTTTGTCTCCTCATTTTGGCTGCCTCTCTGTGTTTGTTTCTGTGTATTACTTAATGAGAGGTATGGGGCTATCTGAGACCAGATGCTGCTTGTTTGAAAGAATTTAGGAAAACCTGAAGCAGGATCCAAGACAGGCCAATCCTATGGAAAAGCAACTGGCAACAGCTTGGGTGGGCCTGAAAGTTGGGTGGGGCGGGGCCTCAGGGAATCACCAGGGCAGGGCAACCAGTGTGAGCCAGGTTTCTGGAGTCCCAGATATGGCGACTGTCTGCCACCCCAGGGAAGGGCTCACGAAAGGAACAAAGGCCTCTGACAGCACGTTTGTCCTGGAGAAAGCCCCTTCTCCAGCCCTCACTCCAGTGCCAAACAGCTCAGTTCTTCCCTGTATGTCCCTGGCGCCCCTCGAGCTGCCTCCCCTCCAAGCTTAGAGGGAGAGAGTCCGATAAGTCCGTGCGCGGGCCCTTTAAGAGGAACTGCCTGGGGCTCCAGCCGCTTCAGCCTCCCTCAGCCTCAGTTCCCGCTGGTTTTTCCAGCCAGAAGTTATGGGAACTTCTCTTCCTGGCACTGGAACCCTGAGCGGGACACCTGGTATGGGACGGGGACCCCTCAGTCCTCAGGGAGGACCTTCACGGCTGAGGTGTCCTCCTGATTTTTATCCGCCACACTTGGGTGTGGGACCAGCCCGTCTGCCTCCGCCCCTCCTACCAGTCTGGATGTGGCTGCTGCTTTAATTCCGTAGTTGTCGGACTTCCATTCAGCTCTGTTTCAGGCGGTTTTGAATGATGGTTGTTCTGTAGTTTAGTTGTAACTTTTTTTTTTTTATCCTCACCCGAGGACATTTTTCCATTTTTTGTACAGATAGAGTGGGAGGGAGAGAGAGGAAGAGAGGGAGAGAGAGAAACATCGACGTGAAAGGGACACATCGAGTGGCTGCCACCTGCCCGACCAACCAGAGCCCGGGACAAACCAACCGAAGTACATGCCCTTAGCGGGAACCAAACCTGGGTCTCTCCGGACCGCAGGCCGACGCTCTAACCGCTGAGCCAAACCGGCCAGGGCATTTAGTTGTAACTTTGATGTGGTTGTGGGAGGTCGCAATACTGCTTTTACATACGCCTCCATCTTGACCGGAAGTCTGTAAATCATTTTAAAATTTTCAAAATTAATTTAAAATTCTCAAAATGGAGGTTAGACATCAGGAAGGACTTTCCAGCAGAAAGGGAAAATTGAAGAGAAGCCTGATGGGGAAGAGAATTTTGAGCATGGTGGGACAGAGATTGCAGCAGGAGAGACACAGCTTGCACTTTTTTGGCAGGTGGTTGTAAGAGACCAGAGATAGGGCAAATGAGGGGGACAGAGAAGAGAGCAGAAAAAGGCTCTACTCCCTTGCTCTGACATGGGGACATCAGGAATGGTCTGGCTCCCACTGCTCCAAGCTAGCCAGCTGGGCACAGGTGGCTCAGTTTGGGAGGCCCCACCACACCAGGAAGTTTGATAGCTCTGCTCCAGCCTCAAGAGCTGGGGACCCGGGCAGGGTGGCTCTTGGGTTTGCGGGTGGTTGTCAGAGCAGCTCCAAATGCCCCCTCAGGCTTCCAGGATGTACACACAATGGTGTTCCTGGGCTTCGGTTTCCTCATGGCCTTCCTGCAGCGTTACGGCTTCAGCAGCGTGGGCTTCACCTTCCTCCTGGCTGCCTTTGCCCTGCAGTGGTCCACACTCATCCAGGGCTTCCTGCACTCCTTCGACGGCAGCTACATCTATGTTGGCGTGGAGAGGTGGGCAGCAGTTGCCTCCCCTGCTCCCCCCAGGTCTGCCTGGGAATCCCCTGCCCACAGGACCCAGCTGAAGCCCTGTCCTTCAAATCTGCTCTCTGTCTCAGGGTTCTGAGCCATCAGTGGATTTCTCTTAGGTGCCCTGCCTGTTCTTGTTGCCTGGTTTCTTCTCCCAACCTTGATCCATACACTCAGCCACACCTCCCCATTTCTTTAAACCCAAGAGCTCTTGGGAGGGTAGAGGGCTTCATGGAAAGGGGCAGGGTTCAGAGGAGCTCCTAGTTAAAGATCCGGTTCTTCCACCTGCAGCCTGAGTCCCAGAACCTACCACCCTGAGACTAAGTTTCCTCATCTACAAAAAGGCAAGGTGATCCCCTTCCTCCTGCCAGGGAAGAACTTAGTCATGTAGCAGGCTCAATGCCTCCTCCCCTGAGTCCTTCCCCCCACGGCTCCCCTTGTTTCGGCCTCTCTCATCTTCCCCATCCCAATCCTCCAGCATGATCAATGCTGACTTTTGTGCGGGGGCTGTGCTCATCTCATTTGGTGCTGTACTGGGCAAGACCGGACCGGCCCAGCTGCTGCTCATGGCCCTGCTGGAGGTGGCACTGTTTGGCATCAATGAGTTTGTGCTCCTTAGTTTCCTGGGGGTAAGTCTGGATGGGAAGGAGGGAGGGCTAGGGGAGGCCTGGGCCAGACCCTAACCAGAAGGAGGGGCTGGGGTGGGGGTTGGGGGCAGGGTTGCCCCTCCACCTCAGCTCTGCCTCCCCAGGTGAAGGATGCTGGAGGCTCCATGACCATTCACACCTTTGGTGCCTACTTTGGGCTGGTCCTTTCACGGGTCCTCTATAAGCCCCGGCTGGAGAAGAGCAAGCATCGCCAGGGCTCCATCTACCATTCGGACCTCTTTGCCATGATCGGTGAGGCCTGCCATGATCGGTGGGGTGGGAGCTAGTTCCAGGCACCGCTGATCTGGGCCGCAGAAGACTGTCTCCAGGCAAGGTCTTGGCCTGGAGTCTGGAGTTCTGGCTGAGAGCTCCCTTCCTACTTGGATTCTTTCATGAGAGTCCAGGACCTGTGCTCCTCCTTCTCACGTTTATGACAGGCTCTTAGAACTCAGCTCTGGGGTATGCACAGGCCCTGAGACCCATTCCCAGGGGCCTTTGGAAAATGTTGGCACCAATTCCTGCTTAACAAGTTAGAAACCAGGCTCATCAGCCTGGCACACAGCCCCTTGCCCACCTCCTCCCTCCCAACTCAGTCTCCCTTATGCTAGGCTTCTCCCATCTCTTGCCCTCAGGCCTTTGTCCCCAGTGCTGCCTGCTACCTCCTAAGGATACTTCCCCCCAGAGGCTCTTCCCAGAAGCCCCTGCCCTGGGGTTGGGGCATTGGAGGTCATGGGTCACCCCTGGGAGAAGTAGGGTCTGACCTGCGAGTGCCAGTCACCACTACCTGTTTCTTCTTAGCATCTCCACCCTGGCCTCTGCTCCTCTCTCTACCTCACAAATGAGCCAGGAAAGGAAATCAATTGTTTTTTCTCGTGGGAGTATTGAAAAGGGACTGAAGAGAGGCTGGTTTTGTGTTTCTTGCTCCGGGTTTGTTGTGAAACAGAGTAGATGTAGCCTTAGGGCAGCTGAGGCCTCCTCACCCTTTGAGACCCAGATAAGTTTGGCTTGAAGTCCAAAGGCTTCCCCAAGATTCCCATGCTATCCCAGGGGTCTACATTCTCAGCTCTTCTCTGCCTCCCAGCTCCTTCCAGACAGGACATCTGACCTTTCCTTGATTCTTCCCCAAACTCTCCCCTTGAAGCACCAATATGTGAGTGTGGTGGATTTGATTGCAGACTGTGGGGTTGCAGGGAGAAGTTATACAGCACACCCCGGGATCACTCCGCACCAGGGGGCGGTCCCTCCAGCCTCCGTGCCATGCTGACCCTACCCTAAAGGGCCCAGCCTTCCCTCACTTTGTCCCTTGGCTCCTCCTCCCTCTCCCTGCGGGGCTCACCTGGGCATCTCACATGGGCAGACAAGGCATATGGAACTCCAGTTCTTAACCCAAAATGCACAGGCCCAGCCCACCCGTGCTCAGCAGACAGAGGCTGTTCCTGCACATTGCAGGATCCATCCTCTCTAGGAGGTCACCGAGGTTATAAAACAAATTATTTTCCTAACACATATACCAAGTGTCCAGCTTAGTGCCCAAAATACAACACACTTTGTCTTTTTTTCTTTCCTTTCCTGATTACTTAAACAATCTCAACCCTCTGTGGTTTTAATCAAGTAGCTCCCTTTTGGGCCAGAACCCTTCCATAGCTACATTTAGTACCTACGAGGCCGTGGGCTATGCACTTCATGCGTGTCACCTCATTTAGTCCTCACTCTGTGAGGCAGGTATTATTATCCCTACTTTACAGATGAAGAAACTGAGGCTGCTGAGAGGAGGTGACTTACTACCCAAGTTACACAGCTTGTACTTTGTGGGGAGCCACTTATTCCTCTCACTCTGCCTGCCTACCCATCATTTAGGGACCATCTTCCTGTGGATCTTCTGGCCTAGTTTCAACTCTGCACCCACTACGCTGGGGGACGGGCAGCATCGGACAGCCCTCAACACGTACTACTCCCTGACCGCAAGCACCCTCAGCACCTTCGCCTTGTCAGCCCTTGTTGGGGGGGATGGGCGGCTGGACATGGTATGGGAAGGAGGCCTTGGGAGAGGCAGAGGGAGGAACTGGGACGGGGAGGAGACCCTGCAAGGCCGATTGTCCAGGGAACAGGTCAGGGCGCAGGCACGTGGAGTTCCACCTGCACTGGAGGTGGTAGGGTCAGCATGTGAGATGATGATATGCTAGCAGGAGAGTTAGAGGTAGACGGTGGAGGGACTTCCAGAAGCAGTGGGCGCCACTGTGGTGGATGGGCTTGGGTCAGATGTGGGTGTGACAATTTGGAAGGGCCTCCAATGGCTTGCTCTTCCCTACTCCCTTAGGTCCACATCCAGAATGCAGCACTGGCCGGAGGGGTTGTGGTGGGGACAGCAAGTGAAATGATGCTGACGCCCTTTGGGGCTCTAGCAGCTGGCTTCCTGGCTGGAACTGTCTCAACGCTGGGGTACAAGTTCTTCACGGTACAGAGGCCTCTCCAGCCCTGGGCAGGACTGCGGGTCTTCAGGGCCCTTTCTCCCACCCTTCTAATAGGCCTGGGGTGGCAGGGACACATGAGACTCATTATCGGTGTCCTGTCCTCCAGCCCATCCTTGAGTCAAAATTCAAAGTTCAAGATACATGTGGCGTCCACAACCTTCATGGGATGCCCGGGGTCCTGGGAGCCCTACTGGGGGTCCTCGTGGCTGCGCTGGCCACCCATGAAGCTTATAAAGATGGGTAAGTCCCCCCCAATCGATTCACACTGAAGTCATCACCCCCTTGGAATGACCTCCCTCACTCTCTCCCCCCCTTTATGCATGAACAAAAAAAGTTGTGTCTATATTCATTTATTCTTCCATATTCTGGGAGCTGAGGAAACTAGAGTGAGCCATGCCAATCAGGGGGACTGCCTTCCTGGTCCTCAGTCAAGTTTAGCAGGTCACTGAACAACGTATTTCAATAGTATTACTGAAGGGTCAGTAAGAGATGATGATCCTTAGGATTGACTTTTGCACATCAGGACTTAGAGGAGAGGGCAGGCAAAAGTGACCTTCAAACTGAATCTTGAAAGGGTTTCTGCTGTCACACGAGGGTGAGAAGGTGCTCCTGGCTGCAGGCATGACTGGAGCAAAGACCCAGAGACAAGACTCAGCCCGATGCCCTCTTAGCCGCTGAGATGCAATGCTCTGATCACTGACCAGCCTGTCCCTCCACAACCTCCCTGCAGCCTACAGAGCGTGTTTCCACTCGTAGCCACGGTCCAGCGCAGCGCCACATCTCAGGCCATGTACCAGCTCCTCGGGTTGTTTGTCACACTGATGTTTGCCTCTGTGGGTGGGGGTTTTGGAGGTGAGTGACCTTGGCTGGGGGTGTGGGGCTGGCAGGAGCTCCAGGGCCAACAGAAGACAGAGAAAGGGAATTCTCTGGAGGAAAGGCCATTGGCTCCCATCCCCCTGACATTCATTTACTCAGATATATATTTTTTTATCCTCACCCAAGGACATTTTTGCATTTGTCTTCAGATAGAGCGGGAGGGAGAGAGGGAGGAAGAGAGAGAGAGAGAAACATCAATGTGAGAGAGACACATCAACTGGCTGCCACCCACACGACCCCAACAGGGGCCAGGGATGAACCACAGCCGAGGTATGTGCCCTTAGTGGGAACTGAACCCAGGACTCTGGTCTGTGGGCCGACGCTCTAACCACTGAGCAAAACTGGCCAGGGCTACTCAGATATTTATTGAGCACCTACTTTGTGCCAAGTGTAGGGTGGGGTTGTAGAGTTCAGGGGTAACTTCCTCCAGGTAAGGAGGAGCAAGTGGGTACTTGCTTCCTCCTGGTGCCAAGGAAAGGTGGAGCAACCTGCTAGGGTCTGTGTTGGGTTCCTCCACTCTGGTTCTGTGGCTTCCCTGTGCTGCTCCCTCTACCCACTAGAGGGCAGCCCAACCTCAGGCTGAGTCCCTGAAGGGGATGGCAAGCTATCTATCTTGTTTGGGGGCAGGGGTAGGGAGCCAAGGCGTTGGCTTGGCTCACCACTAGATTGCAGTATAAAAACCTTTTCTACAGAGGCTGACTACACACTGATGCCAGGTCAGGCAGTCCTACCTGAAGTCTGGCCTTAGACCTTTTGGTCTTCAAAATAAAACCTATGATTCAGTAGCTTCACTCTCCTGCTCTGAAGATTTTCATTCTCAGACAAGTTTCAATTCATTCATTCATCCATCTGATTATTTATTTAATAAGCACTTTCTCCTGGACAGGAGGCCACAGAAAGCAGCTGTGGTTCATGACAGAAACTATTTGGTTCATTACCAACTGTGTAAAACTTGAATGAATTACTTCTCTGACCCTTAGTTCCTTCTCTGTAATATAGGGATCACATTCACCTTCAGGATCACTATGATAACTCAGGAAGGCAATGCTTGTCAAGCCCTTTGCCCAGTGCCTGGCACACAGTAGGTGCTTGACAAATACAGCTGTGACTTGCTGGGCAAGGCATCACGCTGACCCAGGCCTCCCAGCTCCTCTGTGCCTTGTGGTATTGGGTGGCAACCTCCCCCGTGGGGACAGCAAAAAGCCTCACACATCTTCCACTACCACCACCAGGGCTCCTACTGAGGCTGCCCTGTCTGGATGCCCCCCCAGACTCGCAGTGTTACGAGGACCAGATTTATTGGGAGGTAAGACAGCTGCTGCCCCTCGGGCCCACAAGGCCCTGTCACCTTCCCCTGCCTCACAACCTGCTTCTTTCCTTCCTTGCCTGCTCATTCTCCTCTGGGGTATACTCCTGAGCTGTGGTATTCAGCCACCTGGAGCTACCCTTTACCTGTCCCCCACCCCTACCCTCCAGGTGCCTGGAGAGAATGAGGATGAAGCCCAGGGACCTCTGAGGGAGGAGGAACGAGACACTCAGGCCTAACTTGCTTCCAGCCCTTGAAAGGATGCTCTCCTTTTAGAAGAGAATGATGGGCTATGATTGGGAAGTTCTTTTGTAGCTCCCATCCTTCCTGCTGCAAGAAAGAAGCCATGAACCAGAAGGAGCCTGGCAGCGCTAGGGGAAGGGCTGCAGAAGGCCCAGAGATGGTGGAAGAGCAGGGCTATCACTGGTTGTGATGGGGGAAGAGCCTCCCAGCCTCACCACCACCACCCGCAACCTACAGGTGAAGCACCCAAGTGACTACTGATCCACTGTTCCAACATCACACAGTTACGCTGTGAGCCAGGGCCTGGCTCTCAAAGGGTGATAAACTCCACTGTCACCAAGGACTCTGACTCCTTTTTTTGTGTACTGGGAATATGGGGAGTTCTTCTTACCCTCTAACCCAGTGTTAGAAACTTGGGGTGGAAACATCTTACCTCCCTGAGTCTATGGAACTCCCCCTAGGATGCTGTGTTCTATCAGATGGGTACCCAGCCTGGGCTTGCCTGTCTGAAGAGACAGGGAGCTCACTCCCATAAAGCCTGTGTCTGTTACAGGACAACAGCTCAGGATGCTTCTATTCCAGAACTCCTGCCACTCTGATCCTCAACTTGGGCAGCTTCTGAGGAGAGGAGAAAGAGGGGAATAAGGAGTTCTTTGCCACTAACTCCTCAGAAGCTGGAAGCAGCCAGACACCATCTGATGTCCCTGTCCCAAGTCTGAGGAGTGGAGGAACTCACGAGAGTTGCCTCTGAAAAGGATGGGGAAAACAGGTCCAGGGCCTCGGACTGCCTCAAGTCATATGACCACCAGAGGGCACTCCAGACCCAGCAGAGGAAGATGAGGTTTTCTTATCCTATCAAGAATGGAAGTTCTTCCTATAGCCTAACCACCTTCCTGTCTGCTTCAGCTCTGGTCCTCACCATTCATGCCACAACCTTTTTTTTTTTTTTATCCTCACCTGAGGACATTTTTCCATTTTTTGCACAGACAGAGTGGGAGGGAGAGAGAGGAAGAGAGAGAGAGGGAAACATCGATGTGAAAGGGACACATCGAGTGGCTGCCACCCACACGACCAACCAGGGCCGGGGACAAACTGCAACCGAGGTACATGCCCTTAGTGGGAACCGAACCTGGGTCTCTCCGGACTGCAGGTAGACGCTCCAAACGCTGAGCCAAACCGGCCAGGGCCATGCCACAACCTTTTTTGAGCTCCCAGCCCTCACAACATGTCAGGCTTTCAGACTGCATCCAACAGAGAATCCATCCCTCCAGTAGATCCAAGCTCCTTTCCCAACCCTGATGAATTGGGACCCCCTCCTTCCTTCCCCAATGTTTCTGGCAGGAGTTGAGTATGACTACAGACCTTTTTTTTTCTTTTTTAACCAAGACCAAGACCCATTTAGACCTATGAACCCAAGAAGGCAGTGGAGGGATTTCTGGGACCTGGCCCTGGGACAGAAGCAGAAGGTGCCCCAATCAGGCTTCACCCTCACTGTGGTTGGAGGGACTGAGTTTGGCTGGGGAGAGAGGTTAAGCACAGAGCTGAAGAAAGGGTGGACCAGGAGGGCAGCTGAGGGACAAGCACTGTATGGGAACCCTGCCCACAGCCCAACTACATTCCACCCCCAATCTTGTTTTGTTAATCCTCACCTGAGGTTTTTTTTTTCCCGTTGATTTTTAGGGAGAGTAGAAGGAAGGGAGAGAAAGAGAAAAAACAAAAAACATTGATGTGAGAGAAATACATAGATTAGTTGCTTCCCTCATGTGCCCTGAAAAGGACCCAGGATTGAATCTGCAACCCAGGTACATGCCTTCACCAAGAATCAAAACACTCCAACCACTGAGCCACACTGGCCAGGGCTGTGCTCCCCTTCTTCAGTCCCCTCCTTCCTCTGCAGCCTCCCTGCCCAGTGCTGGCTGGGATAGGTAAGTTAGGGGGGATTCTGGTGCTGAGGCATAAGTATGATTGCTGACATTGTAAAGGGGTTCCTAGTCCTGTCAGCCCCTGCTGGGAAGGAGGGAGTTTGAGAGAACTGAGGCCCCAGCCCCCATTCTACCCTCTGGGGCCTTAGCTCCTAGTCCTGCAGACCCGCTCTGCCCCAAAGCTCCCCAAGAGATCCTCAGATTCGAGAGACTTCAGGCATAGGAAGAGTCAAGGATAGCTAGCGTGAGATCCCTCCCTGTCCCAAGTCATTCTGGGTAGGTAAAGCTATGCATATTAATTTCTGCATCATACCTACAGTTTCTTGACCTGATCCTCTCCCTCTACTGCTGGTTCCTGCTGGACTACAACTAAATCTTCTCCAGGCCTGAAAAAACGGGCCACTGCTCTCATCTCAATCCAGGAAGGCTTCCTAGAGAAGGGACAACCAAGCCCTCTCTGGTGGAGGACAGTTATCCAGCCAGCTTCCAAGGCAGGAAAGGTCCCAGGTCCCAGGGTGGCCCACCAAGAGATCCCTGAAAAAAGATAGGCGGAGTGGCTGCTGTCCCACAGGAGATGGCCTTGCATCTCCTGTAGCCAGGTAGTTCCAAGCTCTATGCCTCCCATGAGGTCTCCCATGGCCTGGAAGATGTCGCTGAGCTCTGGCCCCATGGCTCAGGGTACTCTGTCCAGTGGCGAACTCTCCTAAAACAGGCCCGTGGTTTTTCACTCTGCATTTCCTTCTCTCCCTCCCCCAATTTTGCCTCTGATGACTAGCACATTGGTGGGCCATCCACAGATTGTTCTGTTTGGCTGGAATGAGCCATCATTCATGGTCTGGGTATGGGGGCCATCTTCCCCATCATTGCTTTCGGGCAGGGAGCTCAGTGGGGAAGAAAGACAGGTATCCTTGGAGCCCTGGTCTGAACCAGGGCCAACCTCCTCCTCCATCTTCTCTGTAGTCTCTGGCTCAGCACTGTTGGTCTCCCACATGGTGGCTAATCCATTCAGCCTGGGTCAACAGGGTGACAATGAGCAAGCAGGTCAAGAAGATGGAAGGACCAAGGGGCTCATTCCTCACCCCGTCAGGACAAGGAGGCCTCTGCCCCTCAGGGACAGCCCCTCTGATCACCACCATTATTCCTCTCAATGCAGGGCAATCAGACACTTGCCCACTCATGAACTCTGTCCAGCCCCTATGTCTGCACTCTGGGGACAGTGACGGACAGAACACTGGGCCCCTGCTCATCTCCCAGGGCCCTAATGATGGGGGAGACAGGCTGCACTGAGGTGAGTCAGTGTTGACGCTAGCGGAGCCAGAGGCATGGAGAGCAGGTTTCTGGAAGTGGCACAAGTGTATGTGGGTGACAGCACCTGCCCAGACATCTGCATGGGGACCCAAGGTCCCTCAGGGGCCTCAGGGTGATTCTGTGCCTGGGTGGCCAGGTCCCCCCTTGGCCGGGACCTAGGAGCTGCTCCTGTGACCTCTGGAGGACCCGCGATCTGAGCCCAGGCAGCCTGGGAAAGGCCTGAGACCTGACGCCCTCCCCCTCATTGGGATTCATATCACGGTGCGCAGCTGCCCCAGCGGGGGTAGGTGTCCGAAGTGGGGGTGGGGTGGCCATCCAGGAGCAGACAAACCCGGCAGCCGCGACCCCCCACCTCACCTCAATATTTCTCTCCCACCGTCAGGATCTCCCAACCCGCCACCTCGGGGCTCTGCGCCCCTCCTTTGTCTGGCCCGCCCGCCCGCAGTCGGGTCTCCGCGCCGCCCAGAGCCCGGGCCCAAGAGCCCGCCGTCGCCGGGAACCGCCGGGAACAATGCGAGCCAAAGTCTCCGGGCGGCGAGCCGGCTATGCAAATGCCACCGGCCTGTGAGAATCCCCTCTGCCGCCGCCCGGCCTCCACCGGCTGAAAGGGGCAGGCGGCCCGGCGGGGAGGGGGAGGCGGTCACCGCAGAGGGATGAGCTGAGGCCCGAGCGCCCGCCCGCCCGCCCGCCCGCTGGGACAGAGCTCCATTGTCACTGCGCCGTCTGATCGCCAGCCTGGAGGACGGCAGAAGGTGACTCAAACCAGGCCTTGGGGCCGAGGAGGGCTGGTCACCTGTCCGCTCTGGACCTATTCCTCTCCCCAAAGAGGGGTCCGACCGTGGTGGGCCCAGAGCTTGGCTCCCCTACGCACTATCTCAGTTACCTGCACTAGCTCTGGGACGTTAAACCTGGTCCATGGTTGGTACTCTTCCCACCCTCCCTACCTGTTAACCACGCCCCTCCTCAACCTCTATCCATTTTAAAAATCCTCACCTGAGGATATTTTTCCATTAATTTTTAGATAGAGTGGAAGGGAGGGAGAGAGAGAGAAACATCAATGTGAAAGAGACACATCTATTGGTTGCATCTGGCAGGACCTTCCCTGACTGACCCTGACCAGGGCTGGGGAGCGAACCTGCAACTGAGGTATGTGTCCTTGACTGGAATCAAACCCAAGACCCTTCAGATCCTCCTGCTGATGCTCTAACCATTGAGCAAACCATATAGGGCTCTGTCCAATTTTTCACATTGCACTGAGCCAATGGAATCTCACAGCTGTCCTGGAGCCAGTCCCCTTCCAGAAGCCTACGGGAAATACTCCTGGTTTCCCCAGAGTGCGTTGGTACTGGACAGATGCCCCAGGGGATCCTCTCTTACTTCCTTTTTTTTTTTCCATCCTCACCTGAGGACATTTTTGCATTTCAGATAAAGCAGGAGGGAGAGAGGAGGAGGAGGGGAGAGAGAGAGAGAGAGAAAGAGAGAGAGAGAGAGAGAGAGAGAGAGAGAGAGAGAGAAACATGTGAAACATCGATGTGTCTCACATCGACTGGTTGCCACCCACACAATCCCTATCGGGGCCAGGGACAAACTGCAATTCAGGTACGTGCCCTTAGCGGGAACCGAACCCGGTCTCTCTGGACCGTAGGTCGATGCTCTAACCGCTGAGCCAAACTGGCCAGGGCCCTCTCTTACTTCTGAGCCCAAGACTGGTCCAGGCCTTCCTTCCTCTCTCCATCTGCCATCCACCACCAGGAACCCCACATTTT